AATATTACATGTTAATAACTTGATTGGAATTATAACCTTGAATTGACAGTTTGATACTTTGAAAATTTTGAGCCAGCCCTACCCCCAAGGGCTGTAGGGTGGGGCTCAAAGGAGTCAGTGTGCTAAAATTTCTTCATTTTCCTTGTTAAGAATCAAAGGTGCTAGTTTCAAATCCTTTTCAGTCTGAAATCTGTATGCTAGATATTGAGTAAGGTGGTTTTATTGTTTTTTGTCACTTTGAATAATATTTCTGTTCATGTTAAAAACAAAATCAACTCTCTGTATAAATATATCAGGTGACCGCTAAGGCCCATGGGCCTCTTGTTAACTTGTACTTATTCAAATGCAGTTGATTTTCATTGTTTATAAAAGACCGTATTGATAATGGGGGAACAATAGTTTACATGTTTTATGTGATATCCATTACAGGTATACAGCAGAACCTTACTTTATGACTAAGAATATATAAACATGACAGAATGTGATATAGTAATGTCTATTATTAATCAATATCAAAGTTTTACTTTATACACAAACAATGTTCATATTAAATTGTGTCACAGCGTTTCAAGATGGACTGGTCCCTTTGTCAAGCTACAACTGAGTTGTGACACGTTTGGTATGTACATTGTGTATGAAGTCAACTTTGATATTAGATCTTTCCAAACTGTTGAATCTTATTGATAAAAAGGTTGATCATAAATTGTCTCAAATGTATACATACAAACTGTGTTGGTTACTCACAAGGGTGGATATCATTATACACTGTACATCCAAACCCTGGCCTTACACTTGTGACTTGTTTTCAATTTTCAGATCAGTGCTATATCCTACTCCCCCCAGGTAATGGTTCCACAGGCTAGCTTTTCTGATAGACATTTTAAAAATGAAAACTTTCGATTTTTAATGTAATAATATGGCAGTGTCTTCAATGAAACCATAAAATATTAGACTGGGAAATGTTGATTAAGTGACAGATAAATAATTATAACTGTTTATATATTTATTGATGGCGAGTTATTAGTACCATTGGAATCATATAATTCTACATTTTCTTCAAAAATATATTAAATATGAATTATTATTTCAGAGCAGTTACAATTATTCTTCACCAACAAAGGTAATTTTTTAACATTTTACATCATTTGTAAGCCTGTAATTCTAAAAAAAAAAAGAAGAAAAAATGTGATAAAATATTTTTGGTAATAATAGATTTTTATGATTTTTATTTGTGAAAAGAGCCAAATACAGTAAAAATATAAATAACATATATATGATGTAGGAAATTTACAAAATGATATTATATTTCAGACGATCAGTATATTCTCACGATCACCATCAAAGGTAATTTGTCCATAATACATAGAACAAAAGCTCTAAACTTCTTTAACCTGAGCTCAGTCTAGGTCAAAACTGTAACTGAAACTTGTTAACCTGAGCTCAGACTAGGTCAAAACTGTAACTGAAACTTATTAACCTGAGCTCAGACTAGGTCAAAACAGAACTAAAACTTGTTAACCTGAGCTCAGACTAGGTCAAAACTGTAACTGAAACTTGTTAACCTGAGCTCAAACTAGGTCAAAACTGTAGCTATAACTTGTTAACCTGAGCTCAGACTAGGTAAAAACAGAACTAAAACTTGTTAACCTGAGCTCAGACTAGGTCAAAACTGTAGCTATAACTTGTTAACCTGAGCTCAAACTAGGTCAAAACTGTAGCTATAACTTGTTAACCTGAGCTCAGACTAGGTAAAAACAGAACTAAAACTTGTTAACCTGTGCTCAAACTAGGTCAAAACTGTAACTATAACGTGTTAACCTTGGCTCAGATTAGGTCAAAACTGTAGCTATAACTTGTTAACCTGAGCTCAGATTAGATCAAAACTGTAACTATAACGTGTTAACCTGAGCTCAGATTAGGTCAAAACTGTAACTATAACTTGTTAACAAGAGGCTTGATAGGAAAACACTACAGCTTAACTTAGTTTGCATGCTGTCTGATAGGTCAATACAACAGCTTAACCTAGTTAATATGAAGTCTGATGGGACAACACTACAATTTAACCTAGTTAATTGGAGGTCTGATAAGTTACCACCACCAGTTAACCTAGGTCACCACCACCGTTTTATCTAGTTAATCTTATGTCTGAAAGGTATTAATACAGCTAAACCTAGTTAGCCAGAGGTTTTGATATGTCAACGACATCGCTTAACCTGGTTAATGTTAAGTCTCCTAAGTCTGGTAAGTCAGCACTACCGCTGAACCTTTATAGCCTGAAGTTTGATAGATAAGAACTACAACCAAACCTAGAGCTAGCTGCCTGGAGTCTGACAGGTCAATAGTACAGCCTAACATTGTTACCCTCATGTCTGGTGGATCTTATCAACAGTTAAAATTTGTTAATCGGATTGTTTGACACTGAAAATGAATAACGATGTAAAAAGTAAAATGAAGTATAGGTGTCAGATGAAATGTTGGGGGGGGGGTTATATTTATTGTAGTGAAAAATTATACACAATTAGAGGTGAATGATTATTTCACCATTTTCTATGGGATGGAGTGCTTGTAACTTGTTTTCAGTTTGAATTTATGTATTGATCAAAACATTTTTTTTACTTTCCTTAATTTAGCTACTTTATTATAAATGGATTTTTCCCCACCAAAGTAAGCAACCACAGAAAAGCAATTAATGAGAACTGTTTCAAATCTATCTTAAATTCTTCGGAATAGATAATAAAAAAGAATCTTCTGCAAGCAGTGTTCTCTTCAAAAGTGCAAATAGGTGTTTTCTCAAAACCTTTTGATACACCTGTCAAATTTAACGGGAGTATTATGGTATGGCTTCGTCCGTCCGTCGTAAACTTTTGTTTGTCCGGCAATCTCCTCCTGCATTTCTCGACCGATCTCTTTGAAACCTGGTATACATTATAATCATGATATCAAGTTGTGTTTCCATTAAAAGAATTTTGATTCAACAGTATTTCCAAAACTTATTGCCCTTTGTTCATTTCAGTATTTGATTTTTGTCCGGCAATCTCCTCCTACATTTTTCAACAGATCTCTTTGAAACTTAGTAGGCTAAATAATCATGATATGTTGTTGTGTTTCCTTGAAAAGAATTTTGATTCAACAATTTTTGCAAAAGTTATTGCCCTTTGTTTATTTCAGTATTTGACTTTTGTCCGTCAACTTCTCCTACATTTTTCAACGGATCTCTTTGAAACATGGTATACATTAAAATCATGATATGAAGGTGTGTCTCCCTTAAAAGAATTTTGATTTTGACAATTTTATTAAAAGTTATTGCCCTTTGCATGTTCATTTCAGTATTTGATTTTTGTCTGGCTATCTCCTGCTGGATTTTTCAACAGAAACTTAGTAGGCTCAATAATCATATGTTGTTGTGTTTCCTTGAAAAGAATTTTGATTCGACCTTTTTTTGCAAAAGTTATTGCCCTTTGTTCTTAACAGTATTAGATTTTTTTATCCAGAGATTTTCTCCTACATTTTTATAGCATGTCAGCTAACCAATCTTTGAATGATGCAGATCTTATTTCAATGTAAGAAAGTATATAACACTATATGGCTTCGACGGGCGTATATTGTTCTGCCCCGCAGTACTCTTGTTTTAAATAGGTTCCATATTCCAATTAAAGGCCATTGAAGAAATCCTATTTGTACTTGATGTTATTATGAATTATGTTTTTGATTATGTTTGTCAATGTGTAGTATTCATCTCATATCGAAAAAGGAGCAGTTCGATCTAAAACAAATCGACAATTGTCCGTGTTTGTGCCATCTTGATCAGTGAAATGCAAAATCTCTATACATGTATTTCTCGATGCATGTCGGGTACTTTTTATTTTCAGGATCTGGTGCTTTAACTTATTTTCAGTATTGATGACTGATCATGGAAACATCATTGGATTTGTAATGTTACATTTCTTTGATCAGAATTTATTTTAGAGGACACGTCACAACTGATTTCCATGATTTCCATGATTTACATGATTTACTGATTTACATGATTTACATGTAATATGATATTTATATAGATAGTTATAAAACAACAAATCACCTGTTGAAGTGTCTCAGTTTTACACTCTTTTTTATATTATGGAGGGTCACATAACTTTGATGATAAAACAATTCACTTTTCATTTAACTGAATATTAACCATTGGAAATGAAATAATGCTGTGGTGTGTGTTTAGTTCATATGACTTTATGAATATAACAGGGCCTTGTGTCTCATATGACAGTGTGTCAGTGAAGCCCAAGGAACCAGTCTTATAAGTTGTATCTTGTTGTACATCGACATCTTAGACAGGATGTCAGTCAAAAGAGAATTTATTGCATATCAAAAAGTAAAAAGAACACATTTTTTCGATAACTTGTAATATTAGATTAACAAATCATTAAAGTTTAGGGCTATGATGTTAGTTACTCTTGAATTTGAGGAAATTTGTGAAACTAGGACCCAAAACAACCATGTGTCATCCGGAGTTTGTTTTTAAATTTTTCTTACTTGATACAGTCCATTTATATGAACCAGAATGCTTTCTGAAAAAAGTGCCTTTATTTGCAGATTGTTGACTTTGGGAGCTGAGGCTTGTAGAATGGAACAATATGAATGTCATATTTAATGTTACATAAGAGGCTACAAAAAACTGTAATGCATTTAACGTTTTTTTTACAGAAGTATCCTTTCCTTCCTATGTCGTTTATGCTTACACAATATATTGGAAGTAACATTTTGAAATTGGAAATTGTCTTGCTGCTTCACTCATTCACAAAGGGAATCCAAATTCATTTGACCTTATCCAAGATACTAGACTTTGTAAACATTTTTACTGTATGCTGCCATATTTTTCTTCACACTTACAGACTGGCAGTCGTCTGGACTCTCGGGGGCCAACAGCTTTATCGGAGGAGCCTGACGACTACTTTGACAAGCTCGGAATCACCGGTGAGGAGGGAGAAGAGGGTGAGCAAGCTGGGGGCGAAGAGTGGGAGAAAGAGGCAGAGAAATTATATGAATGGACTCAAGAGTTATCCTTCAATGACGAGCTAATCAGTACACCTTACTTACCGGTGACGACGTAGCAGGATTCTGTTTTACACCTAGGATGTAGGAGAAAGAAAAAGGCATTGCGGAGAGAGTTTGCAGAGGATGTTGTTTGTAATTTTCAATGACCTTAAGAATCCAATATGCTGTATGGTACTCAATTTTGTGAAAATTACATTTTCTGTATATCGGAGCATTGGAAAAGAATTGTCAAAATCTGAATCTAAAAATCAGGTTTACTTGAGTAGAGAGTCGCTTCGTACATTTTATCATCTGTGCAGTGTTGCACGAAATTAAAACCTTGCAAAGTTGTTCCAGAAACACAATTGCTGCAATGTAAACTCGTAAAATTAAGTTGCTTTACCAAAGTGTTTCCAACTGGTTGGATCATCAACAAACGAATGAAGCTTTGTGTCTTGAACAATGATTTGTTGAGCAAGTTGATTGTTTACAATATGACGCACTGTTTGTCTCTTTTACACGAGTTGTACTTTAATGGTATAATCATGCAATTACAGTTTGTAATTTCATATTTTTATAAACTGCACAAGAAGTGCTGTGAGATGATTCGATGTATTGTATAATTACATGTTTGATCACTTTAAATTGCAATCACCTTTGTTCCTAAATATCAAATGAGAGCATGCATTGTAACAAATCATCTGAACATTCTCGGGATGATCATGATCATTAGGCAATGCCCCCATGTTTGAGATATTTTTGTTTACTTTTTGTCTTTAAACACCATTTTGATCTACATAAATGAGTACACCAATTGATTACTCTTTTTCGCCGTTACCAGAAATATGTGACACCTTCAACACTATTTGAATAATCCTGGAACCACCCCTGACATTTTCACTTGCCACTTTAAGTATTTGTTTAGCCTCAGGGTGATGCCCAACTTTATTTGAGATGCCCTTGATTACATTGCCTGGGACTCAAACAAGGGAGGCCCCAGTGTTTGCCTAAAAGGAGACGTCTGTAGTAGTCCTTAATACATCATTTAAAACTAAACCCTAAACTCTTATTGAGTGTTGTGCACTGGTGTTTAGAAAGGTTTCTGATGTAATTTAGATATTCAGTAGCTTTCTTTGCATTTCAAGTAAAAAACATAACACAGTTTATTTTAATCATTTTAATCTTTCAACAATTTGAAATAAAAACAAAAATGCTGGCCATATCGTTCAGCTTTTTTAAAAACATTAATATTCATATACAACAGAAAGATAAATTACTGGCATTGTTTGTTGATCAATCTCTTACTTAGTTGTCCTATTGATTTTGGAAATTTAAAACGATTGTAGTTTGTAGAAAATCTTTTGTGTTGCTTTTTGTATCTTCTTTTGGTCATGAAATAACAACCCTTTTGTCTTTCAATTTATTATGTGTATGTCTGAAATACTTACATGTGACTTTTAAAAACCTTTCTTGGGAGAGAGAGAAGAGACATGTTCTTTGTAACAATGTAATGTTAGTCCAAATTGGGTTACACAAGAAGCATTCACATAGGTGTGACCTTGACATATACGATCTGATTGGTCATTTTGTCTATCTATAATGTGGTACCTAGTTATTCACTTTTGTCTGTATAAAACATGGGACCTGATTGGATATTGTGTTTATGTAAGTTGATAACTTTATTGGTCATGCTGATTGTGCTATATGTTTGAAATGAAACTAGATTGGTCGTTATGTGTATGTAATGTAAAACCTTATTGGTTCATTGCTTTTGTGTAAAATGAGTCCTGATTGGTCGTTCTGTCAATGTATTGTGGAACCTTATTGGTTTGTCCTCTCCATGTATTGTGAGACCTGGTTGGTCTATCTGTCTATGTAACATGGAACCTTATTGGTTCAATCTGACTGTGTGAAGTGAGATTCCATTGGTCTGTTCTGTCTATGTTATATGAGATATGACTGGCCATCCTGTCAGTATGTTGTGAGACATCATTATGTCATCTGTTAACTTTAAAAATGAAATCGAGAACTGTTCTAAAATGAAATCGTCTGTGATATTGTTGAACACATATACATTCAAACTTAATTATCACATATAATTGGATCAAGGTTTAGTATACAAACACAACGTTGTAATAACAATATCTTTTGACATAATATTTTTTTGCATAGCTATAATATTAACTGAACAGTATTTGTTATGGATATTTTCAGTATCCGGTTCCATAAAATTGCTTTACCGGGACGGGTTTCTTAATAAGCATATTACATTCCTAATAAATACATATAGCACACCCAAAAAACGTAACACTCCCCATAAAACATATGACACTCCCAATAACACATATTGCACTTCTTTAAGGAATAAGATATTCCTCCCAAAAAACATACTCCCTGCAAGTCTTATTATACTTATCAACTGTTGTGATAACTGAGTGCAGCATCAAATACCTAATAATTCCATAACTCCAGATTTAGATATTGAATATTATATCAGAATTTACGTCAATTTCCAATGAAAGATACAAGACAAGCAAGAGTATGACATAAATTGATTTATAATTCACATACCTACTAAATACAGACGTTTTTTTTATAGTTGATACCTTTTATGTTCAAAGCTGTATGAACTCAGTCGTATCCTACTCTTTTTAACTTGTATGTTTAGACCCTCAATGATACCCAGTTTATCATATCCCTTCAGAATATTTCTATTGGACTCTCTTTATCATATGTCTTATTCGTTTTAACTACCGTCAGTTCTTAATTGTAACCACATTATCATATCCCTTCAGAACACCATATACCCTTTCTCATCCGTTTTTATCACAGTCCTTCGTGATATCTATGGATCTAGCTATTGGACCCATTTATCGTATGGCTAGATCATCCTCGTCTCCGTCCATCATACCCATTTAAAACAACTCTGTTGGATCCCTTTCATATTATGGCTTGACCCTTTTATCATCTCCATATTTAATACCCTTTCGGAACACCCCTGTTCGACCTCTTTATCTTGTGGTTATCTTTGTCATGCCCCTCCAGAATATCTGTGAAGTAAATGTATATATCATAAATAAAACATATATAGCTCAGATCATTTCCTCACAGCCCTGATGACAATCAGCTCGAGGGTTTAGGGTCCTGCTGATAAGGGGTATGACAAAAATAGCGATTTGTTAATCTCTCATTGTCTTGTTAATGTTTACCATGTATGTGTCAATTTCAATTTGATGAAATAAATATATTTATATACATTCGGAAAGAATTTTAAGGGGTTTTTTTAAATGCAGAAAAAAAGGACATTTTTGATATCACAGGTATATATAAAACAGTTTTTGACGGCTGCTTGATGAAAGAGTGTTTTGAGTTGACACAGTACGGTCATTTATCTGTTATTAACATTTTTATGACAACAATTTGACTTCCGCGTTAATCTAAGTAAAATTTACTTGAATAAATCCATATATCACTCGAAAGTTTAAAAATATTTGTTTTGTCAATAAGATTGGCATATTCATTGCTATTTTCTCATTGTTCTTATATTCTCAGATAAAAGAGAACAAAATCGTCATTAGGATTAATAATTCAACACATGTTGGGGACTAGGTAATGAATAACTGATGTCATATGCTTGTTGATCATTTTCAAAGAGTGGTTAAAATCAAAATTGATAATCTCATATCATAAACATTAAATGACTGACCGGATTTAAAAAAAAGTAAAGGGCGCTTCTTTTTGTCATGAGTGAAATATCACCGTTCTGTCTCGGTGTGATGATACATTATACGTAAATATTTGATTTGTGTGCTAACATTTAAACTAAATTATTGGTTCAAAATAAAGGTCAAACTTAAAACAAAATATAAAGATATTAATACAACCGAGTCCAGCTCAAAGTCGAAACAATCTGCAGCAAAAATATAAACTCACGAACACAACATGTTGGACGGCCAAGTTGATTGAGATCTGTCATAAGTCTTTACAAAGAAAACAGCTGAGAGGCACTCACTGGAAACTGTCGTCGTATCAATGACACACTGGAATTTATCTGGGGAAAGCTTGCTTTGAACATACCTACAGGAAGACGACACACTTGCATGCTCAATTAATAGCTCATTCAAAGTCCGGAGACGTATTCCTGATAGCATCACACCACAGGAAAAACATCTCACTCTGTCCTCGGGGCCAACGTAGTAAAATCCTGCCTCAGCCACATCACTTAAAAAGCTCTCCTTGCAAAGGCAATTTTTCTTTGAAGACGGTGTTAACACCATGCTTTGGAGAGTCGATTTTCTCTTTTCTACTGATTCATAGTTGGGGTTGCCCGCAAGAGTTTTTTCAAACTCAGAAAGGACGATCTTCTCAATAGTTTCTTCAGACATATTTGCCTTGACCAAAGGGCATCGTGGAAATCCCTCCGCATGCATGGTCCATGGGTCATCCGATTCTTTCCAGTCAACCCGCGCTCCTCCACAGTAGTAACATCGTGCACGGTCTATCAGTCCATCGAAAAAGAAACCCGCCTCCGCCATTGATGCTGCTTTGGTGTGGAAAACAGTGTCGTTAAATGTATCCTTTCGCATCTGTTCATCAGCAAAGTCTGAATGTTGTACTTTATCGGGGAAGCTACTCCCTATGACGGCATGTCTAGATGAATGGTAGATCCTAGCCATAACTTTCCTGCCCACGACCAGAGGACCACTAAGAGTGTACGCTAGTATCCACTCGCGCAGTTTCCGGCCTCTTACGTCCAGAACACAGCTGCAGATTGTCGAGAATATCTTGTCAATCCCTCGGCTCACAATGTCCATCATGTCCTCTGCTTCCGCGTCAATTCTCAGTTCCACCTGTGTGCTCATGGACCGTATAAACTGTAACATTTCCACCACTTCGTCTGTTTTGTACTGTTCATGGCTTTCAATATTCTTCACACAATCGCTTAAATCCAGTTTGATCTCCTTTGAGGAAGGCATGATCTTTATCCCTAGAATGTTCATATCAGTGGAACTGATATTTCTAAGTCCACTTTGAAACATGTAGTCGAAGAGACTTGTCGATTGAGGGATCTTGCAGAGAATAGCAACGGTATCACTTTCACGAAGGATCGGTACTGGTGACGTCATGCAACGTAAGACCTCTTCCAGCCAGTGAGGCGTCTTGGAAATAATTATTGCATCCGATACTTGTCTTTCATGTCCTTGTTCAAATGAAAGGGAAATGCATCGTTTGGAGAGTGAGCAACATGAGTAAACAAGTCTCAACATGTTGAGGAATTCCTCCTGAAGGGGGTGTACGATGAGGATGCATTTTGAGCGTTCTATCATACCAAACATACTTTCCAGTCGTGGTTGTCCTGGAAGTATATCCAACTCTAGGTCACAATACGTGACTCCTTTGTCTTTTAATGGTGCAAGTATGACCTCCACAACATCTTGAGCCAGGTTAGAATTATCGTACACAGCACACATATCCCACTGTTTATTGCTGGTTTGTTCTATAGCCATAGAGAGGGATTTGTCATAAACTGCAAAATAAACTAGAAGATTAAAAACCACCGCATCAAAAATAAATTAATATGAAATATTCAAAAGATTACCAAATCGATTAAGATAAATCTAGAACACAATATAAAATAGGAAAAAGTTAGAGGGTTGAAAAAGAACAATAATAAGAACAGGTGTTCTGGAAGGGTAAGCGTATCCTGCTTCATCGACGACACCCGCCGTGTGAATCTAGGTTTAATCCTATAAGTAATTAAATGCGTTAAAACAGAAGGAATAGAGGGGGGACACTATTTCAAGCCAAAAGGAAAGACATCACGAACCTCACAAACAGTTGACTTGAAACCAATCTGTTCCAGAAAGAAAGGCGTTCCTGCATCACATGTGGCACTCGTCAAAAAGTCAATTTAGTCCTAAAATGTGTTGATCTTTGGCTGGTTGGAGTTTTTCCTGTCATAGATGAACAAATACACTGTTGACGACATGTGTATATTCGTGTCTGAAATACAGACCAATATCTATTCTGGTATCCTCGAATTTTCAGGGGTTACACTCACTTTCTTTCTCCGTACCCCTGGAATATTCATGACAATCTTCTTTTGATATTCCGTCTTTGCGTATTGCAGAGTTATCTTCTCTTGAGAGCAGGTATTGATTGTTACGTCATTGGTTTGTGTGAGAAAATTACGTCGTTTTCTCAAAAATTGATGACGTTACTCTCACAAACAAGTGACGTAACAATCAATACCTGCTCCCAAGAGAAGATAACTCTGCAATACGCAAAGACGGAATACATCAAAGCCTCAAACTAGTATTCTTGTATCATCCACTAGATGGCACACACTTAGCCTTTGATTTTGTCGTGACATGTTCAGGGGGTGCAGAGAACGTAAGAGAGCATAACTCCCTTACATTTCAAGGATGTTTCATTTCTGGTTGAAGCTAACATATCTTTAGGTATGTATTGGAATTATTGTTTCAAGACAGAGAGTTATGCATAGTTTAATGATAACTGATACAAGAATGTCCTCTAAAACATTACGAACACACACTTCATGATATTTGATTCTATTTTTGATAACTTATAGGATCGTCACATATAAACATATTTTTAAAAATCTGTCAAAACATGTTAAGGATTCATATTACAAAGCAAAATCTTAATAATCCAATAGACCATTGACTAAACTTTATTTAAAAGATCTTCTTGGTGATTCCTTTTATTAGGGTCATGATAACGCATTAACGCAATATGGTCATATATATTACCCTTTGCATAGTTTGCAATACGAATAAATGCACAATTGAATTTACAATGAACTGTTTATGGAAGTTCCTTTTCATATACCATGAAAAATCTTAGTAAAACAATCGGACATGGACTAATTTTGATATTTACTTAATTCGAAGTCTTAACGAGGCATTTACACCAGAAAACATACAAATTTGCCTCGACATACAATATCTCTGTGTTATAGCTAACATTGATACACGTTCGTTCTGTGTACTAAGACAGGGTGCGCCCAAGTTGAATTTCAATGCGCCTTATCTATTTTTATCTACAGCCATGTTTAGAGATCAATTTTATGTTCAAAACCATTTAGTATAATTGTCTGGTATTGAGAGCATGAACTGTTGTTTTCTTAATGTTGAAAAAAATTACCTGTAATTGTCTTGTAATCCAAAGCCAGCCTATATCAGTAAATGACTACTTTATCTGTGTTAACCCCTTGCAATGTAAACAAAACACGAGTCCAGGGCGACACATACCCTTTGACTCTGGAAAACCCCGAATTCTGTCCAGGTATAGTCATTGTCTATAGTATCCGGGTTCTTCAGCTAAGGTCATTAAAAAACGTGCCTCCGTTTGTGTATTGTATAATTGGATGTGTGCATGTGTGCCGAAGGCAGGGTATGTAATGTATTTAAAGCGTCGATATACGTCACATATACGCCATACTTAGTACTCAACAGGTATACATATGGGTTTTTAGCGAAACTAATGTAAATGAAAAAACATTAATACAAAACCATATCTAACCGCGATTGCATGTATTGCGCCAGCAACAAACATCATGTTGACGTTTATATTACCACAGTCAGTCAAAAAAACCACCACACCATAGTGTTATATTTGTCTTCATTTGACGGGAAATGGTCCTGTTCCTTAAAGATGACAAGTGTTCTTTCCCCGTATTGATAGGGAATGTTCTTTTTCAACTATACAATACATTCTCTGTATGTCATTCCTTCAGTAACTACTAATGTATGAACGTTCCTTTCTCCAATAAAGCAATTGTTCTTTTATCCCACAATGACACAAGTTTTTTCCTCGTATGACTACAAATATTCCTTTGTTCAATGATGACAAATATTCCTTCGTTCAATGTTGACAAACGTTTCTTCCTCTAAGGACGACAAGTGTTTCTGCTCTCCACTGATCACAAATAACCTTCATGCTACAACACGGTTTCCTTCATTTAATAGGTTTCCTCCTACAAAGATGACGAATGCTTGTGCCTTGAATGATGATAAATATTCCGTCCTCCAATGATGATGAAAATTACAACATCCAATGATTACGAATGTCCGTCCTATACTATTATCGAATGTTCTTTTATACCATAATGGCGATGTTCCTTCCTCCGATTCTTATAAAAAAAAAAAACCGTCAAAAAATGCAAAAGTTTCTTCCTCGGAAGATGGTAAAAGCTCCTTCCTCTGGTTGTGATGATGGTTCCTTCATCCAATGATAATACACGTTCCTTCCTTGAATGATAGTAAAAAAACCTTCCTCCAATTATTACAAATGTTCGTTCCTTCAACTATGACTCAAGCTTCCTGTAATTATACTAAAACATTCCTTTTTTTTCAATGACGGCAGAGGTTCCTTCCTCCAATAAACAATTAAAGTTAGAGTCTTTCCTGCAAGCTTCTGCATCTCCCTTTTAATCCCTTTTCTTCAAATGATCCTAGGTGTGACCGGACTTGACCTTTAATTTGATCATAGTTTGAGCTTAAGTTGGACTTTTACGACTGTCGGTGTTATTCGGCGTTTAATTTCCTGTATTTCGCAGTTTAAGAAAACGAAAGTAATTTTGAATTACGAAAATAAAACCCAATAAACTCCAGTTATACTATTTTGTTATATACAGATATAAATAATGACAAAATTTGTCATAAAACATGTACATAGCGCGATAATATCAGTGTA